ACTTCCGAAAAAACACACCTCATATTTACATGCCAAAATATGTACTTAGAGGGCTAAATTTAGGCACACAATTTTGAAAATGTTGGCATTGGCCATCTAGAATCATCTCAACAGCACTGAAATCAATAGGAGCCTGACCAGTGACATGAGTTGCTTCAAGCCCTTAATGAATACAGGCAACATGAATTACAAAAAGGATAAATTTGATCCTATCTATCATGAAGTGATAAGAATTTTTGAAATTTGGAGACATGGAAGTATGATCTTTTGAAATGGGTAGATTATTCATATTTATATTTTTAAGTTTTTGCATAAGGCCTTTGGTCTTAACAAAGCTATTGATGAAATACAAGATATGAGTGTTCATAAATCATATTTATTAACCACTGACTGTCATTTATTTAGTGCATGAAATAAAATAATGTCTGGGTAAATAGAAGTGAATTCTTTCGAAGTTTGTGGAGAGGGAGGTTCATGATAAGTACTGAGGTTTTTAATTAAAGTCTATGTGTGTCTTAACATACATATGTTAGTGATAGTTGAGCTTTGTTAGGTGATTTTTAATTGCGGGACAGCAGAGTTTGCCTCTGAAAAAGATTACTGCAGTACTTCAATTCATACTTAGGAATAGGGATGTAAAATCCCGTGTAACTGGTTAACCCATTAGCCAATTAAGGGGGTAGCTCTAGCCAGGCTGGGCTACAATATCCACCCACTCCTTTCCCCCCTGCTGTGGCTGGGGTGGAGTGGCCCACGGATGCAAGCCCCCGGGGCTTGACATGCCTGGGCCTGCCATGGACAGGGGCTGCTCTGGGTGTCTGGAGCAGTCCCTGTCCATAGTGGCCCCTGCAGGGTTGGAGCAGTGCCCTGCCCATGGTAGGTGAGGAACTGCTCCAACTCTCACCAGTTAACCAGAACGGGTAAGTTAACCTTTCACATCCCTACTTAAGGGCCTCATCTGAAAAGTAATTTGGTCTTGCTTGAGTCCCAGAAGACCACATTTGCCTGACTTCATCAGGTTGACCTTGTGCCTCAGTGCAATGAAAGAAAATTGCAATTGTTGAAGTTGGGATGTAATGCAAAGGTGTTCAGGTGAATAAGTCTTATGGTAGTCCATCAGTGTGGAATCACCGTTTCAGCCGCTGCAAGGATGTAAGTTTTGGGGCAACAAAAAAACAGAATTGGCTTTCTCTATCTCTTTGAGTACAGTACATGACTTGGAATAGGAAGCAATCTCTACAAGTGCTCAGCAGTCTGGATGGTATTCTGTGTTTCTACAGCCTACTCAATTATGAAGGCAGTGATGACTAAGGATAGAGAAAAATGAGTGAGTGCAGGTAATGACAAAATACCCTTCAGAGGAAAAAAGATGGTATTTTAAAATGAAAGGCTGTTGCTTCTCATTAATGCTTCTAGCTTTAAGGAATGATGAAATAGCATTTTCAGATACATGTAAATATATTGTGTCCTAGGTACAAAAATTACAAACAGAAGCAGAAGAACTGAAAACCAGATATGAAAAAGTGTTAAATGAGAACAAATTAATAACAGAAGCCAAAGATTTAGAGATCAGTGAGGTAAGTAGTCCACTTAAATGATATAACATAGTTTCATGCTATTTTGTAGAAAAGGGACCTCAGACTGACCTGGGAACCACTTGCTAATGATTGTATGGTGCTGGTTTTCTTGTTTTCCAGGTCCTAAATTACTTTAAAAAATGCTGAAAGTACATTAAATACTTGACTGATGTTACTTTTTCTTGTAAGCAATTTCTATAATCACCACAGAGTGAGAATTACAGAACAGGAGAGGAAGTCATTCCCTAGACAGCTGGTGGGCTCCAGAACATATTCTCAGTTATGGTGTGGGTCACATTATAACAGTTTATGAACCCATCATAGAATGTTCAGATTGACTGATTTGTTGTTTTTTTAAAAATACTGATCAGTGGCTTAGTTTGTACTCACCCACAAGAAAATCTGTGGAAGCTGGCTGGAGAAGAAGGAAATTACTGTAAAGTTTGCTTTGCCAAGCATCCTACAAATTCTTCCTTGTGAGGTGTAACAGCATTCCCAACTAAGCTGATATTATGGTTGTTCCACATAGATCTCTGGTATTTCCTGGACCCCTCTGCACAGAGGCATTGCTTCTTTACTCTGCATCCTGTGACTCTCCCTTGGTTCACTGTTAGCCATGCTAAGTAGCAGAAGGTAGAGCTCTTCTGCACTTCAGCTTCTGAATTAGTAAAATTGGGATAATCCTATACTGGATTAACTGTAACTACATACATTTGTGGATTTCTTTCATGGTAAATATTGTCGTGTCCCCCCATCCCTTTTTTTTTTTAACTGAGGCCCAAATAGGTGTTGGTTCAACTGTAGGGCACCATGGTTTTGAGTATTAGGCCTGTGCCTCATAGTAAGAATTACTAAGTTTTCATTCTGTTTCTGACACTCCCCTGCTATGTTACCACAGACTGTTCCAAGCTTCATCTGTAAAATGAGGATATGGTATTTGCTCATCTAAGACTTAAACAGTGTTTGTCAAGTGTTCTATGTAGATGTTGGGACTGAGGAGGGCACTTGCCACTGACTTCTCAAAGTTACACTATTACCTGCTGTTCAGCTTGTCCCATTAAAAAGCTTGAAGAGCTTTCATATACCTCTCTGAGAAAAAATATTCTGTTGCACAGTGTCCCAATGTATAAGCATTTTAGGACTACAAAACACATACAATAAGTTGTTGGAAAATTTCACATTACTTCACATTTCTATATTATAATAGCCCCTGTCGGCAAGGGGGGACCAGCTTCCCACTGGGACTCCTGTGGACAGGGGCTGCTTTGCAGCAGCATGCTCTATGCCCCCCTGCTGCCTCTAATAGAGGCAGCAGGGGACAAGTGGCACTCCGGAGATGGTGCTGGGGGAGAACCAGCTTTTAAGCCAGCTACTCTCAGCACCATCTCCTGTCTCAACTTCCCCACACCGCCGCTGCCTTTCATAGAGGTGGGGGGTGGGAGGGCAGCACAGAGAGCGCAGGGTGAACGGAGACTGCTTGAGTCCCCGCTTGCCCCATGCTCCCTGCAGCACTTCTGCTTTTAAAATGTACAAGAGCCCTCTGGGCTCTAGTACATTTCAAAAACAGAGGTGTCCACAGTGGGAATAGTGCAAGCAGGACTGAAACAATCCCCACTTATGCTGTTTCCCTGCTGTGCCTCTAGCTCCCCTGCCCCCCACGGAGATGATGCTGGAGAGCACTGGCTCTTGCTCCCCCACCCCACTTATTGCCTCTCTCTGATATAGGCAGTGGGGGAGGGAGGAGTGGGGAAGCAATTAGTTGAGTCACTACTTAACTATCTGAAAAACTTTTGCTTATCGGATAGTCGACTAGTAGCTAAGATCCCTAATTTTTAGATGTATTATGTATGTAACCATGTGGAAAGCTTTTGAAGATGTTAACAAATTATGCTTTTGCATCTACCTGTTTTCCACTAATGCTACTGTGCAGGTGAGAAGTCAGATGCAGGCTCACTTGAAGGAGTTAGAGCATGTTCGTGACTTACAGAAAGCAGCTGAAGAGAGACTGCAGGAGTATCAGGAAAACATGTTGTCCTATAGAAGGAGCTATGCAGACAAATCCAAAACCATTAGGGAGCTACAGGTTCAGGTGCTTAGAGCATAACCATTTAATAGTAAAGTATCTAAACTATGTGGAAGAAAGTCTGGGGAGTAGTTTTGCCATCTGAGAGAACCCATGTCATTGTTCTCTTTTCCATATACTTGCTTAATAGAACAAAAGTTCATTGTGCAGAGATTGTGAAGCTCTTTGTGGTATGTTGTGTTTGTATTTTTCTGTATTGTTAGATGTAGATTGTAGCATCACTATATAAATGAAAATTCTTATTTTTGTGTTTAGATTGTAGAGTTTTCTGATTTTAAAAAACCCTCTTCTCTTTTGAATAATTAGTTATGTTAAATGTGAATCCCCATTTGAATCCCAGAAAGTTTTCCTTATTAGTATAGTATGCAGTTCTAAAAGACAGTTAAATGTAATCGACATTACTCCATCTCTAGATCTTTTAATTTAATTTAATGAAAAAACTGTAAGGCCTAATTTATAAGATAAGCAATATTTTTTCAGGAAAATACTATAAATCAAAAAAATCAAAGCAGTAAATTATATTCTTTCTGTTCTACAAGTTGCATTATATTTTACACATAAATGTACAAAAAAGCACACTTCAGACTTCTAAAACAAATTATTTCAAGTCATTTTTAGATTTTTTTAATTCATAGTTTGTAATATTTCTTAAGGGCCTGAAAATGTGTTTCTTCCTATTTTTATCTACGTTTAATTTTTTGAAAAAAATTTTTCTCCACGTTCAGAATCAAGTTACATCTTTTTTTTTTTAAATACTTAAACATGTGTGACAGACCACATACCTTTTTTGTGGCCTACAGTAATCTGTGACAGCAGGACACTGGGAAGTGTTTGAATTAAGGGGGAAAAACCACAAAGGGTCTTTAATATTTACTGACAGGTAAATGGTGACAAAAATTCCAGTGACGTCATTAGAAACAGGATGAGGTCCAATGTGTTGTTTGTATGATCTCTATAAAAATACAAGCTCTGGATTTTATGTTAAATTTCTTGGCAAGGTCATTTTTATAGATATAAAACAAGATTTTGCTCTCACTTTAAACCTAAGGCCTCAGTTGAGGAAAACATTTAATCGTGCTTAATTTTACCTAAGTTCCATTAATTTAATTTAATTTAATTTAATAGAGAATTAAGTATGTGTTTAAAATTAAGCTAATGCTTGCATGTTTCCTGGAAAGGGAGACTGTCCTGAATTAAGGCTTAAATGCAGTGGAACTCTGTTAGTCATGTTTCTCAAGGGATTTACTCTGTACCTGAGATCAGATCTGATCACTAATTTGTCAACAAGACATTTACATTCAGATAATCAGTATTTTTCTTGTATTATATCTAGTCTAGCATATATGTTTGAAAAGTGTATTGTTCTTTTCAAAATAAATGCTGTACTGAAATAAGTTGAAGGGGTATAAGCCAGCCCTAAGTTCGTGCCTTAATAAATCTCTAAGGGTATGTCTACACTTGCCCCCTAGTTCAAACTAGGGAGGCAAATGAAGCATACCGAAGTTGCTAATGAAGCGCGGGGTTTAAATACCCATGCCACGGTGATGAAGTAGGCCCACTGATTTTAATAAGACAGCTTGCATAAGGCAACCTTGATTTGGCTTCTATGTCATGTGAAAATCATTAAATAGAATGGAATCATCATTTTCACAGATTGACAACAACAACAGGTTCTTAAGAAAAAATTCGTTGGAAGATGAAAAGTATAACATTGAGAAGAAATATGAATATCTTAAAAGGTAAATGTGATAACTGACTACTACTCACTCAACTTTACATTTTTCTCCATCAAATTTCATATGTGTATATGTTTTGCTTATAGACAGTTAGAAAAGATGGATGTACAAAATCAAGAACTTGCACATCAATTGGCAAACCAAGAGGAAAGTCTTCAGCACACTGAATTGCAACTTAAAGAGAAATTAGCAGAATATGATGCTTTAGCCAGACAATTGGAGGCTGCTTTGGAAGAAGGCAGAAAAAAGGTATATATGGTCCAGTGTGTCTAAATATGATTGAAGTTTTTCCCATTTTCAAATAAAAATTTGGAAAAGAACAAAAGATTTGAGGAAATGTGATGGCTAGGACATATCAAAAAATGGATACGGTATTCTATATATAGGGGGCAGTATGGAAAAATAGATCAGAGAGAGCTTTGCCTGAATAAATTCAAAGAACTTGGAATTTTCTGGCCCTATAGAAGTTGATGGCAATCCTCCTATTGACTTCAGTGGTGCTGGGATTTTGTCCTTCATCTTTACACAAAGGAATTCTTTCCTTCAAACCACATGAAAAGCTTCAGCTGCCCAGTAATTTCAACGGGCAAATGTAAAAGAGTTTCTGATCAAAAGCTTCAGCTTGTCTTTTTTCATTTGCATTTCCTTTTTCAATAGGCAGCCCACAAGGACTTGGATACAGAGGCTTTCTAATTTCAGAAGAGGGCTTTCCACACTCAGAATTTACAAGCTTTTGTGTAGAGTCTTGAACATGAAGAATAGATTTCAACCAAATAGGCAATGTGTAGGAACTTAGATCACAAGTACCTATTACAGAACAATCAGAAAATATTTATATGAAGTAATAATTAAATTATATTAATTAAATGAACTAGAAGCAAAATGGACTGTACAATTATATGATTGTTTTCACATTCTAGTAATATTGACCGATTTTTAATAAGTCTCAGTTCAGGACATTTACAGATGAGTCATCAGACTTTTTTTCCCACCATTAATCAATCCTACAGCATTTTCTAGTGATATAACTTGCTGCATTTGAAATCAGATTGTATCCTAGGTGTGATCAAGATACTTAGTGGGGAACAGAGAGAGGATTATAGCAGGCAAATATGAAAGACATAACCCACGGTAGCATAAAATATTTTAAAATAATTATTTGGGGTTTTGATCTTCTAATGCAGATGTATTTGTAATTATATAAATTTTCATTCTTTGTTACTATTTCAGGAGTCTGAAGAGGTGGAAAAAATGTCATCCAAAGAGAGAGCTCTTCAGACAAAAATATTGGCTCTTGAAACTGAATTAAGAGAGAGACGAGAAGAGCGAAAGCGACTTGTCTCCAAATTAAATAATGTGAGTATCTGTCACTTTACTGATACTGATTATAAACTACTTAGGGTACGTCTAGACTACATGCCTCTGTCGATGGAGGCATGTGGATTAGAATACCCAGCATAGGAAAATGAAGCGGCGATTTAAATAATGAGGCATACCTGGGAGGTCGACAAATGCCTTTGATGTCAACCACGGAGCCTCCAGACTACTGCGCTGAGCCGACAAACAGCTGATCGGCTCAGCGCGGAAGGCATTTAAATTTAAATGAAGCTGCGATTATTAAAATTGCCACTTCATTTTCCTAAACCTGGTAGTCTAATCTACATGCCTCTGTCGCCAGAGGCATGTAGTTTAGACATACCCTTAGTTATTTTAATCACTACAGACAGTAAATAGATTAATATATTTTTTAATGAATTTGTACATAATTTTGGATCACAGAGTCAGTTAGCTTAGTTCTGTTAGCCTAAAGCTATCTAAAAGACTATATTTTGTGCAGAATTATAGATGGAAGGTTAGGAAAAAATCTCCAGGATACCTAATCCATCTTTCTACGGTAGTGCAGGATTGTTTACTGTACTGAGACCCACTTATTAAGTCCAAATTGCCTCGAGGGCTGCTGCTTATTTTAAAGGCTCATGCAGACACAACCAAATGGGCAGCAGGTCCATAGCCAGTTAATGAAGTGGATTAATGTTCTTCTGAGCTGATAAAAGAAACTGATGCCAACATTTTAAAACATGGGTGCTTAAAGTTAGGCTCCCATAGCCATATTCAGGAATCTAAATTAAGTGCCCTGATTTTCAAAGGTTTTTAAGCACTTGCAGTTCTTAGATTTGGCCCATTGGTAATTACCTTCTTAAATTAGCACCCTGATGATTGTGGGCTTGTATTTTTGATACATCTTTCCAATTTGTTATTTTTCCCTGAGAAACTATTATAAAGAAGTCTAGCAGTGTGTGACCGTACAAACTGTTAAAACTGTCAGCTGTGTGGGAGTCTATATAATTTGTAAAAGAGTGAAGTAACTTCACTGTAGGGTTTTCATTAACAACTGTCCCTCTACATCAGCCTACCACTATATTTTAACAGTTTTCATGAGCATATAGGTTGCACAACAGCTTTTACTGTTTTACTCCAAGGTAGAAGTCCCAGATTCCACTTTTAGGTTGTAATTCTGAAAAAGCTGCATATTTTATTTGTCAGTAAATAAATGTGCAGTTTCCGGCATGGCAGGGGGAGGGTCTACTGTCTGCATGGAGGTAGGAGATCAATCTGCAGCCTTTCCCCCATTTAGACAGGGACTTGGTGGTGAGGCTGCACTGGACCCTGACACAGGGATTTGTCCCAGAAACTGCAGGACCCATCCCTCTCCACACCAGGTGCATCAAGATAGCAAGCAAGAAAAGTCAGTGTGTGTGACACACACATGCACAGACCTGGCTCCCATCCAAATGCGAGGCTATCAGGCTCAACCTGGAAAGATATAAGTGGGAGTGGATGAAGGTGTGGGGTGAAGAGGGTTCTGTGTGGAGCAGTTTGGGTGCAATGGCGCAGTGTAGGTATCTGGCTGTGTGGGAGGAGGGAAGATCTGGATGTACAGGATTTTATTGGGTGAAGGGTTCTGGGTACAGAGGGAATCAGACTTTGCAATGGGGATTCAAGTGAAGATGGGTGGGGCTCAGTGGGGGGGAGCATTTGGCAGAGAGCCTGCGGGAGGGCAGCCTTTGAAGGGAGTCCAGGTACTGAGGTAGTGGGACTTGTTTTGGTGGAGGTCCAGGTGCAGAAGGGTGGGGCTTCTCAAGGTGGGGTTGGAGTGTGGGGGTCTCTGTGAGGGGGAAGGAGTCTGCAGGGGTATGAGGAGGGGCTTGGAAGGAGGGGCTAGTGGAGAAGGAATGGAACTTGGCAAGAGGATCTGAGTATAAGGAGGCCTGGATGCACAGTGATTGGTTGGATGGGGGATCAGCTCCCTATACAGTCACCCCTCCTCCCTGTGGCTGCAGGAAATTGGGATATGGAGCTTTCTGGACCTGAGGGAGGTTCCTGTTTTGACCCAGACCTGGTTACTTGTGCAGGGAGAAAAAGCAAGTCCAGTCCTTGCCCATTCAGGACTAGCAGCTGAGACCAGCTCTAGTAGGAGCCAGTGGCCGGTATGTCTCCAAACACCCCTTCCCTGTGGTGATTTACCTTTCCGCCAGCTGCTCTAGGTGTCTGAAATGACATGCCTGTGCTACAGGAGAGCACAGCTTCCATCTCAGAAGCCATTTTCCTGTTACTCTTTAGGTAACAGGTCTGGCATTCTGCACCTCACTTCATGTCAAACCATTCAGTCCAGCAATTCCTAGACTGGATCTCTGGGCTGCATCCCCTTTTTACCAAGCATAGTAATGACACAGGCCCAGCTCAGGTTTATTTACCTATAAGAGGTTTTCTTCAGAGCCCTGTGGCACTGTAACTTTGCAGTGACACTACAAAGTATCTTCCAAATGCATTTTGTATTTTTTAAAAACAAAAATAAAACACCTAGAATGCAGTGTAGAAATAATAGCATACCTCAGTACATGAGTCTTACTTACAATGGCTGGTTTAATAGACCTACTTCTCCATAAAAAGAAATCCATGATAACTAAGGCTGAATGTATGTCATGGAAGTCATAAATGTCATCGATTCTGTGAGTTTGTGACTTCTGCATCAGCCAATATGGCTGACCTTGGGACTGACTAAGCAGCTAGTGCTAGAACCAGCTGCTCAGGCAGCCCCAGGACAGCCACACCAGCTACTGGTGAAGCAGCCCTGCAGCCAGCTGCTCAGGCAAACCCACACCAAATGCAGCTGGAGCAGTCCTGCAGCAGTCATACGAGCTGCTGCTCAAGTGACCCCAGGCTGCTGGCCCCAGGGTCAGCAAGGTACCGTCTGAGCAACGGCCCATGGTAGCTGACCCCAGGAATTGCTGAAGCACCGGTCCTCATAAGGTAGATGGAGCTGCCACTGGCCTAACAAACAGCCCTAGCAGTGACTGGTCGGGCTGGCCCCAGGAGCCTTCCAGAGCAGCAGCACCCCAGGGCCCCCCAGCTAAGATTTAGTAAGGGATATTTACAGTAAAGGTCATAGACAGGTCACCGGCTGTGAATTTTGATTATTGCCTGTGACCTATTCATGACTTTTTACTAAAAATACCCATGACTAAATCATAATCTTAATCATAACCAGCTTATGGAGGCATGCACATTATTCATACAATGTACAGTAGAACTCCATTTATCAAAGCCTCCTTTATCTGGCTCTCCATGTTAACTGAACTGGGCAGTGTGGTTTGAGCTAGAACCCCCGCCTCTTTTGGGGCTAACAGCCAGAGCCCCACCTATTCTCCTGATTATTCAATTTGGCCCTGGTTCCAGTTAGATCTGATAATCGGGATTCCCTGTTTGCCACATCTTAAACTCTTAGAATACTGGCTTTTTTCCTAACTGTGTTGTCTCTGTGATACTTTTGTTTTTTCCTTTGTATATAAAATCTGTTTATTATGCTAGAAAATGACTCCTCTGTCCCTTATTCTTTTAGCAATACGTTTTTTATTATTTTTATTTCTCTAGAATATGGGAATGCTTAACATTTCAAATAACTTTGTTGTTTAATTTTCCTTTGTTTATGGGCTTTTGTCCAGAAAAAAAAATTGTATGAAGCAATGCATAGTTTTCCTATTGCTTTATATTTTTGTTCCCATTTACTTTGTGTTATCTTGTTGTGTATCCTTCCTGCCCTCGGTATTCAGTACATGGTTCAAATAACTATACCAGGCATTGGTCAGGTTAGCCAATGAAGTTAATGTCACTGAGGAAGAATTGAGAGCTATATTGACTCCTTTGCCTGGAGTGGATAGAGTAGGTGAAATCTGACAGTATCAGTCTTGGAATGGGATCATACTGCTCCTCTCTGATCCCTTCTACAGGAGTCAAAGATCTACAGCTGGGAAGGGGGCATGATTTATAGGGGCAGCTGCAGAAGTTGCATCAGACATCCTGAAAATATATAGGATTTTGGCAAGAAATTAATGCTGAATCGGCAAACGTTCAGACTTTATCACCAAGGGTGCTGTACACTTCCAACACACTCAACTCAGATCTCCAGCTTTTACAACGGGAATTTCTGAGGGATAGAGAAAAGATGGAGCAATGTCATTTTATGTCCCAGAGGGTAGGATCTGCTGGACTCTAGTCTCTTTACCTACTGAAATGAAAGGGTCATGCAGCTCTCTGTCTTTACTCAGGAAAAACAAGCATTCAGCTTCCTAGTGCCTGGCTTGATTACTTTGTGCTGTGTAACATATGTCCTTATTAGAAACAGAAGGCGCTTATATCTTGTAATATTGGATCTTAATTTACCCATGTTCCCATTCTGCAGTTTGGAATCCTTATTTGTGGAAGAGTCCTGGGGGCACTTTCCTGTGGGAAGACCGTGGCAACAATGTTGGAACCATACTGCCAAAGGTTCTGAAGGGCATGGGATATTTATACAGCCAAGTGCGAAGGCACAGGGTTATGCCTGTGCCACTTTGAGGCTGGAAAAGAGCGTAGTCCCCCACATTAGTGAAATAATTCCAGGGGAACCTCCTGACTGAGAAAAGGTATCACTCCCCAGCATAGGGCAAGCATCCACTTTGGGAGAGGATCACAGATTTCAGCCCCCTACCTGAGGATTAACAAGGAAGATAAGAGTTTCCTTTGCTACTGCTTCAAATGAGGATATTTAGGATAGGAATGTTAAATATTGGGTAATTGAATAGTCGATTAACCTCATGAATTCTTATAGGTTATTTGACTATTCTGTAGTCTCCAGGGGTGGGGCCGGCAGCCAGTGCGCGCCAGCCCCACTCCCAAGGAGCACCCTGCTATCCTGCGCTGCTGCCTCTGTATCAAAGGCAGCAGCGTGGGGTACCAGGTGGGAGCTGGTCCTCAAGGGAAGCCAGTTTAAAAACTAGCTCCCCTCATGGACTGGATGCCTGTCACACTGCACTGCTGCCTCTGATACAGAGGCAGCAGTATGGGGTGGCAGCAGCCCCTCTCTAGGGGGGAGAATGCAATCTGAGCTCCCCGATCTGGTGCAAGCCAGAACTGAACCAGGCTAACTGCCCACCTGGCTCCTAATTCACATTAAATGCAAAGCCGCAGCAAGGGTAGGTCCCGGACCCGGTGCAATCCAGAACTGAACCAGGCTGCTGGCCAAGCTGCTAAAAAAATGTATTGTTTGCCTTTTGCTTATTGGTTAATTGACTAGACTGTTACTTCCCTAATTCAGGAGCTCTGAATTTTTACAATTTTTACAATTTCCAACATTATCAGCATTCAGCCTTCCTCCTCTACACTCCACTCTTCTCCAGCATTTCTGTTTTGGCCAGGGTGTTCTTGTCCCCTTTTTTAATTTTGAAAGGTACCTCTGAAAATCTATCCATGAGACATGCTTGTTCATTTTGTGTGCCTGATTCTGCTTCGGCTGAAACCAGTGAGAGTTCTGACATTCAGGTCAATGGGAACATAGGCCTCAAAAGTATTAATTTATTACAACTCACTTAGCTTTATAGAATAATTTGAGTCAGACTTTTCAATGCATGTTATTTTCTCTTGCAACTTGACTTCCATCTCTCCCACCTGGGGCTGAAAGTTTCTAGATAAGAACTACAAGTCATTGCTATTATTTTTCAGCAAAATCTCTCCAAAACTGTTGTAACTGTAGGTATGTAGTCTACTTTTCAGTGGTTTCCATTCTAGAAGTATTTTAGGCTGCCAGTTTAAAATAAATATAAAAGGAGAATTATTTATGCTTGAGGGGAGACTTATTCTGAACAAACACAAGACATGTACATTGTTCACCTTCTGCGGTTATGTATTCATAAAACTGGGAATACTTTATGGAAATCAAAAATAAAATTCATATTGTTCCATGATGCTGGAAATGGAAGGGCTCAAGAAGGTAATTTTTTAATGTTCACTTTAACCTGATTTGTCGTATAATGTTAGAATTAAATCTGCATGGTTTATTTTAAGAGACACACATCGGAAATCTCACTGATAGGCATAAAAGGAAAGCCAAAAAATGAGTGTTTATGTAATACATTATCTGTGACTTACCATGTACAGATGTAATAAACAAGTAAATAGTGTTGTTTTTCCACAGATGATGTAAGCAACAAAAATCAGGCTATATTAAAGATTGGTAACAGATGTATTAATTTTTTTAAAAAAGCACATGATTTTTGAGTGTGTATTGGAAGTACCGTGCCACAATCTTTAACAATGGAAATGCAAAAGTTAAACCATTTCTGTGTAAAAGATATCCCAGGACTCATGCCCTCTTTTTGAAGAGTATGAAGTTATTTAAGCAGATCAGTTTAGGCTCAGGAGACATAGTGAATAGGTTTCAGATTTTAGAGTCATTTTGAGAGTCTTGTGTTTTTGCGGAGCTGATTAAATTTTAGGGAATAATGAACAGGGTTATAATGTTTGAGTACTAGTCGCCTTGTATTTTTATTTTATATTTTATTTCTAACTTACATACTCTCTTTTCCTCTTTTTTTTAGAGTGAGAAACAACAGCAAGTATGTTTGAAAGAATTAGAGCACAATCTACAAAAATCAGAAAACCAGACCCACAGTATCCAGAATTATGTACAATTTTTGAAAAACTCTTATGTAACAATGTTTGGCTGATTTCTTTTATTTAGAATACTTCAAATAATAAGGGTAGAGTCTTATGAAATGCTGAGTGTCCTTAACATTCAGAGAAGTCAGTCGAAGTTGAACACACTTTACTGGATTGGATCCTACGTTGTTAGGGCCTGCTAGGGAATCTCTTGTTCCAAGTTTCTCAGAATTGAGTCTTACCTTGATGTATATGTACTGATCGTGTTCTGAATGTTTACATGGCAGAACTAATCTGAACAACAGTGAAAGGAAAAACTGCACATCTCCTCAATGAAAGATGTGTTACTATTATTCACTGTACTTATGTTGCTGTAGAGATCCTAGCTAGGTTAAATTTGCGCTTCAGCTACCATGATAGTAATAGAAATACTGTTCTTAATATTTTGTAAATATGTAATACATAACTGAAAGAAAGTCCATGAAAATTACTATATGAAAACTAAGTGTGGTGACATGCTTCCCGAGAATGGCCCCAGTTCAACAAAGTATTTAAGAATATCACTCATTTTAAGCAAATGTGTAGTTCATTTTAAGTCAGTGGGGTTGCTTATGTCTAAAACAAGCCACATGCCTAAGTACCTAGCTGAACTGGGCCCAGTTGGTTTTCTATAACAAAATAAACTGGGCCTAGTTGATTTTCTATAGCAATACTTACCGAAGTGTAATATGATTTTTAAAGGATAACAGGTTCAGATAACATATTAAAATCTCAATATATGAATTGTAAACATTAAATATTCTATAAATGTTCTCTTTATAGATACAAAATACAATTGAAGTTACTTATTTTGTTTTATAAGCATGTTATAACTATTCTTTTGCCAATTTATAAAACTACTAGCAATTAAACATTGATTGGTGCATCACTGTTTTCTTTTTTCTTTGCTATTAGGCATCCGTGCCAACAAGCTAATGGTATATACGGTATTATGCTGCTCATGTACATGCTACACTTTACTTAAATTTCCTTATATATATTTCATTATTGTGTCACAAGCACAGTACTTTCCATTACACTTTTTTGGTTGCCTGCATTAAAAAACTAACATTAAATTTTATTTTGATTAAGTTTAACATTTTCCCTTACCACTTCAGAATTTACCTGTTTAGTGATACTGAACAATAATGAATGAAGAAACATCAAGATATGAGCGGTAAAACCATCAATCCAGTGTAAGATTTACTTTTAAATCTAGGACAGACCAATCAAATACCATAAAAGTTACTTGAGTATGTGTAAGCTTATTAATTGATAAATTATTTAAAGAAATTCCAATAAATTGCTTTTAATCTATCCTCTGCTATCCAGGAAATTAGAAAAACCTGAATCTTTTGTCTTTACTGTAATGCAATAATCTTTCAGAAATAGGGCTTGAATTGGTTTGGACATTGCCTAACCTATCAGTTAGGTATCATTCTGAGTTCTCAACTAAAATGCCATGGTCTGCCAGAGAGCTCAGCAACCTTTAGATCAGCCACAGAATCGAATTTGTAATAGTTTTATTAGTGCAATCAGTAATACCACAAATTGCAACATAGCAAAGAAAACAGAAATGACACAAAGCACTTGCATGCTCTCATCATCTTTTCCAGGGAGATCCTATGGAGGTAAAATGTCATCCAAGGCATGGCAGGTTCCACGTAATCTCCTTGTGGTACACTAGCCAAGTATCAGCTTCTGTTGTGAGTTGTGCTAATACCTGCTGTACATCACGCAAAAGGAGTGGAAGCTTCAGCCTGTTCTTTGACCATACTTCCTAGTTATGCTCTCATCTCATGGGTAACTAGGCCTTCTACGTCAAGCATATTAATATATAACATCACCTGATCTCCATAGCATTCTTGCAGTTGAACATGTGCCAATATTTTTATTTTAAAATATCCAGAAACAATATAAACTGGTATGCTGCAGTTACCTGGCAGCAGTTTGGCTAAGCTTGCTTGTTACAGCACTCTATCTTGTGACAGGGTTGTGACATTTTATCATATAGGTTCATATACTGGTAAGTTGCTGATGTCAAGTCTTTAGCTCTTAGATTTTAGTTAATTTTGCTAAGATAACATCCTATAGGCTTGAGATTTCTAGGTTTTTGCATTATTCCCTTAATCCCTACCTATACATTACCTTCCATAACTGGCTACATGCATTAGTGGAATTGGTGACACAGTTTCAGAGCAAGTTTGTTTGATTCAAATATCACCTGAATAGAATACATCTCAGTTGGGTCAGGCTGACTGACAGTAATCCACTGCTCAGAAAACACTAAGCCACTGAGATATCGGGTTGAAGTTGCTAGTTTGGTAGTTAAAAAAATATTTTTGTAAACTGAGAAAAAAATTGTAGAAATCATTAACACCCTTTTCTTGCAAATGCTTATGCGTGCACTTAACTTTATGCCAGTTGAAGCTAATGGAATTACTCATACGCTGCATCCATTGTTTAATTTTTCATGTGCATCAAGTTAAGCTTGTGCAAGACTGAGTCTGTGGACCATGTGTTTTTGTATAAAGTAAATTCTGTGAAAGTATTTACAGGATTGAAGTGTAAGAGACAGCGGCTATTCATCCTTTTTACCCACACATTTGGATGCTTCTACTGTAGGTAGTTGCTGCTGGAAAACACCGAGGTTCATTTGAGGCTATTAAATTACCAATTGATTCTCTGACTGTGCCTAAGTATTATTTACTTGGAAGCCAGAATGAATTAATGCTAATCAAATAAAATAATATTTTATACACACACCAGGAGAAATATTAGAGAAATAATAGGCCCATTAATACATTATGGGAGATCAGAGTCCAATATCGACTAGCAAAAGTACTGAATTCTTTGTTTAAATCTCTGTTCAACTACTGAAAAAATAAATTAAGTTTATATATTCAGAAATAAGAAAGGCATTGTAAAAATAACTTCGCAAGGAACTGGGAACAAGAAGAGAACACTTGGAAAATTTGAACACATAAAAGTCAACTGGCATGTATGCAAGTCATGCCTCATAGATCAGAGGTTCTTAAATTGTGGTCTGTGGAGGATTTTGTGTTTTGCAGAGAGCTGGTTGATGACATGGTACTACATCCCTCCCCCTTATTTCCAGTTGTTACATGGTATTAAAAGAAAGTTGCAAATATGTTGCCTCAGATATTACAGGATTGTGAACTGGAGGGCTGCAGACAATCTCCGTATTTACTACACAAAGGAACAAAATATATTCAACTAACTAGCTTACCTGTCAAAAAAGTACTCATCCTGGGCAAGTGAGTAACTTTTTGCATGGTTGAACTAATAATCTGGATAAACAGATATTCAGTAGAAGAAATTGTGTGGTGATAGCGACAGCACATTAGACATCATGTTTGTAGTATCAAATGAGAGCAACAAAGACCAAAGCAGTTTTAGGCATTGGAACAACAGCCCAGGAAATTAAGTCTATATGATTCCGAAGTAGTGCGCACAGGATATAATGATCAATTATGCACGTTTTATGTACAGGAAAATATGGACACATGGAGAGTATACAGAGATGTTTGGGGTGTATATGGTATATTGCCAACCATCACAATGTTCCCAAAAATCTGCCCTCTTTTGAAAATAAAACAGTGCAGTTCTCGATTATGCTCTCATACTGCTTTCAAGTGGTTTAAACGATTGCTAGATTCAATTTGATAATACTGCTAAGTCACATACACCATATGCGTGCTCAGTAGCTGCCTCCACACTGAAAAGGAATATCCCAGGCTTCAAAAAGATAACACAAAAAGGGTTGTATTTCTTTACGAAGCATGAGTTATGGGGTGCCATTAACATTCCTACATCTTAGATTTTTGACTTTGTATCTTTGTGCCTCATTTTTTCAGCATACACAGCAGATTGTGATCTTTATTTTCACACTACAGAATCTAAGTATTTTATCTTTATTAGTAGTTTTTTTTATTATGAGGCGGTTTCATTGGCTTTTTGCTCATACTGCTAGTGGCATTCATTTCATTTAATCATATCAATGAAATGATGTCATGCTTGTGTAATATATTGTACTTAACCTCATGATGTCCAGCCACCAACAATGCTCTAAAGAAAACTTTTTTGTACTTTTTTTTTTGTAAGAAGACTCTTGACCATATCACAAGTCAAATCATATCAACATTGCTTTATCACCTGGGTTCTGACCTATCAACAATGTTGCTGGTTCTTCTCTTAAGCAGGATGAGACCTTCAGTGTGCAATATGACTAATCACTGGTTCTACAAATATATAACTTAACATCCTGAGATGTAACTTTCCTATTTGCTTCCCAGTGAACAGAATCCTATAGTCTGTACTCAGGCAAAATTATTTGTAATTTATAGTGCTTAATTTACAGAATTTGTAAGAATCAACTTGGTAGCTGAGCAATTCAGTATAACTACCTATATAAGTTGCTGTAAATACAAAGACATTTAAGACTTGGCTCAGTAAATTTGGTTCAACTCAATTTATTAATCTCAGAGTCGTGTTAGTCTGTAATTTAAAACAACAAATGGTCCTGAAACAACTTAGAGATTAACAAAAAAAATGTAGATGGTATCATGAACTTTCTTGGGCACAACCAGCTTCTTCAGATTTTAGTCTCTAAAGTGCTGCTGGACCATTTGCTGTTCAAGTTTTTTCAGTTGATTACATGAAAGCTGTATGTTTTTAAAATTCACTTAATTTTTGCAATTCTGGAGTATTCTAACAGGACCATTTTGGAGTCTGAAGTCCCTCTTAAAATGACAGCTGTGTTTTACTACTTATGGTGTCATTTTTTGGATGCCCGAAGTGGTTAGGTTTTTTCCCCACTGTTGAAAGAGGGCAGCTAGCTCCAATAATTATTTGTTTTATTTCTCAACTGGGTTTATTTTTTTTCTGAAGAAAAAACCCAATTTATTTTATTTTCTAACTGGTAGTACAAACAATGTTGCTAAAATATTAGCAGAATTTTAAGTACTTAACCAATTTAATTCTTTATACATTTATTTTACTGTACGGAAAGAAGCCTTTTACACTGCCAATTTCCTTAGAGCTATGTTGAACCAATGGAGTTGGTCTTTTATCCTTAAAATTATATTTTTATTTGACACGTGAAAATGATACAGCCTACACCATTCTTTAGAGAGAAGTAGGTTCTTCATGCTAAATATGTATATAGTACATCTCTGTCAAACAGGTCTTATAGAATGTCGCTATATGTACTATTTTACTGTCGTTTTCATTTTTAGCATCACTCCATGACAATATTAACATAAGTGCTCAATGTAGTTTTCAAATAAGCTTTTGATTTTTTCTTCAGAAAAATCTTTAGAGGTTCAAGTATAGTTATATCACTTCAAAAGTGAGAGAGCTGGTTGCATTCAACTTCTGATTATTGTTACAAAAGAACTGTCAAGCAACAGAAGGAACTAATCAATACTGTACTTACAGGGTTGTGTATATCTGTATATTATAGTACTCTTTTGTAGGAGCTTCAGTAAGTGGGAACCTTCCCTTTTTACTGCTGAGCTCAGGGAGTAGCAAAAGTGATGAGACATTCTGCATGTCAATTTGAAATCCTTTTAAAAAATGAGTTCATCCAGCGGAAGGGATGGAGAGATTTAAGCTGTGTATGAATACAAACAGTTTGTGTTGTCTGTATAACAATGAGAAAATGAGGCAGATGTGTTCTACACTATTCTGTTTAAGAAGCTTCTCTGATAAAAAATATTTCACTATAGCCTTTTAATTAGAGTTTTTAATACAAAGCCATTCCTTTTGCATACTGTGGGATTTTGCATTCTAGGTGAGATATCTGACAAACAGTTTCAACATGGTATTTAATATACACATAATTTTGAGTATGTGAGTAGTCCTGTTGTCAAATTAGTGTTCTTGGGATATTGTCTCATGCTTAAATGGCTTGCTAAACCAGGGCTAGAGAAATTTATGCTCTTGATAGTACTGAAGCATCCATGTTTTCTAATCTCTGTATTTGCAGCAGTAACTCCGTGTGATGAATGGGATTTTTTTCTTAATTTACATAACAGGTAACTTTCATCCAAAGATTGTTCATCTGTTATCTGTGGACCTATGTCTCTCTCTAGTCAACTTGACAGACTGATTTGGTGGGTGTCTGTAGCTGGGAGGAAAAACAGCCTGTTAAAGGGACAGTGTAATTCATAACAGTTGTCTTTCCTTAGTATTCTGTACATATATTAACACAATAAAACCTAAACTGTTTTGTGTAGAATTATCTATAACAATCTAGACATAGTAGAGTTGAGAGAGGAGTACCATTTTACCCCTTCTGTAAAGTCAAATTACATATCCACGCAGTGTCCATTAATGGAAATTCTAACCATGTGGAGTTTTGAGTCTGCTAGTCCAAAAGAAACTAACAAGCACTCTGTCACTATTTTTGCAATTATTGGTTTCTGATAGAGGGGAAAGTAATGCACTGGTGCCCCATTTTGCACTGTATTTGGGAAAGTGAGAATTTGAAGCACAAGATGCTCATATCACATGCTTTAGTTTTGTTAATGTCTGGGAAAACAGATTTTAAAGCAGAAGCATAAGTTTTAAGGCTACTTGAGGCCCTACCTTCTTTAATCCTGTCTGCCAAATAGCCTATTACTAGTAGTTTAGGGTTGATAGATCTTTTAACTCTGTTTCCTATCCATACCATAAAGCTGCTATAAATTCTCTTGTAAGATCTATTGGGGGAGACTTTCCAGAGAGATCATAGAAAATTTAATAACTTCCCTCTGTAAACCTGCCTCCTCAAGGAATTTCTTGATAGAATACATATGATCTCCCCTGAGTTCCTTATAGCTGAGTCATCAGCCTGATGTGATATGTTACTGGTTTTCAAGACTTCCTAATTCTCTTGCATAGTCCATTATTTTTTTCTTGCAACCAAGATCTGGATCTCCATACAAGTTTGAAGAGGGACTATTAATGTCCAACTCACCATAACTTCTTCTAAATCTTCATTGCTGCATTTTGTATCACAGGGAATAAAGAAAAGACATTTCCTGTACTTGTCACTGAGACTTCTCTACAAGGGCATTGCAGATAAATGTCTCCAATCTCATATTTTCTGATTATCCTGGAAGCCCCCCACAGAGTTATAGATCCATGGAAAATCCTCTTCCTCCTAAAGACTTTCCACTTTAAAAAGGTATTTTCCATCTTTCTTTTTACTTGTAATGTGAAATTGCAAGAGAAGCAGCTAGAATCTAGCATAATTTAGATGGCATGTATCTGTCTCATTTTGCCCCTTACAATCTTTCCTGGCTAAGATACCACCAATTTGTCACCTTCGAATTTGTGCCTGATCTTTTGTTGGGAAATCTAGAACAGGGAGAACATTTCAAACAATCTGGAATTTCTCTGATTTTAGAAAACACCCCAGTTCCCTTTCCCAGCTTGATTATATTTACAACCCTCTTTCCTTCAGAAGCCTTTCGCTCCATAATCATAGGAAGTACAATAGAAAGGAGAGAATGCTTGGGAAGGTATCAGGCACAGGCTCATTTCTCCATTGTTCAGGGAATAACAAATTACTGTTATACTTAGTTTTTAACTTAAATTGGGCTAGGAAGAGGATAAGAAGGAGCAAAGGAAGTTAGAAGCCAAGAAAGAATGGAGTAAAGGGGTAAGATGATTAATTAAAATTGCCAGTAAAAGAAAAACTTAATTTTCAAAAACTGAGTGAACATGACTGTATGGGGAAGAAAACAGCTGCTCCTTTCTCCATGAAAGGAGGTACACAAAGGTCTACCGGGGGGGGGGGTATAAAATTGTCAGACACATAGATGAACATAATTTGTTGGGGGAAAGTCAACATGGTTTCTGTAAAAGGAAATCATGCCTTACTAATCTGCTAGAGTTCTTTGAGGGGATCAACAAACATGTGGACAAGGGGGAGCCAGTGGATATAGTATACTTAGAGTCCCAGAAAGCCTTTGAGAAGGTCCCTTGCCAAAGGCTTTTAAGTAAAGTTAATTGTCATGGAATAAGAGGGAAAGTCCTTTCATAAATTGATAACTGGTTAAAAGACAGGAAACAAAGGGTAGCAATAAACGGTAAGTTTTCAGAGTGGAGAGAAGTAACTCATGGGGTCCATACCAGGCTTTGTCCTAGGACCAATCCTATTCAACTTATAAATTACCTAGAGAATGGAGTAAGCAGTAAACTGCAAAATTTGCAGTTGATACTAACCTGCTCAAGATAGTTAAGACCAAAGAAGACTGTGAAGAGCTTCAAGAAGATCTCACCAAACAGTGATTGGGCAACAAAATGGCAAATGAAATTTAATGTTGATAAATGTAAAGTAATGCACATTGGAAAAAATAATCCCAACTATACATACAATATGATGGGGACTAATTTGGCTACAACTACTCAAGAGAGAGCTCCTATAGTCATTGTGGATAGGTCTCTGAAAACATCCATTCAGTATATAGCAGCAATCAAAAAAGCAAATAGAATGTTAGGAATCATTAAAAAAAAGGATAGAGACTAAGACAGAAAATATCTTATTGCCTCTGTAAAAC